TCATCGACTGCGATGGGCTTTGGATCGTCCCAGCGAGTGACTCGACAACTATCGCGGTGGTACCAACGATCAAGTCACCACGCTTGGCCTACAACGTGTATGGTGTCTGGCAACCTGGGACGTCACCGAACAGCTATCTGGACGCATGGCTACTTAAGCTAGTCAGTCAGCGAGGCCAGTTGGGGCACGGCATCGCATTGGAAACAACGATGTCAATCCTTTTCTATGTCGCTCAGGTGTTGCTTACAGCTGCATACGCAACAACGTCGCCCGGTCATCTTCACGGACACTTCATCGACTGCGATGGGATTTGGATCGTCCCAGCGAGTGACTCGACAACTATCCCGGTGGTACCAACGATCAAGTCACCACGCTTGGCCTACAACGTGTATGGTGTCTGGCAGCCTGGGACGTCACCGAACAGCTATCTGGACGCATGGCTACTTAAGCTAGTCAGTCAGCGAGGCCAGTTGGGGCACGGCATCACATTGGAAACAACGATGTCAATCCTTTTCTCCGTCGCTCAGGTGTTGCTTACAGCTGCATACGCAACAACGTCGCCCGGTCATCTTCACGGACACTTCATCGACTGCGATGTGCTTTAGATCGTCCCAGCGAGTGACTCGACAACTATCCCGGTGGTACCAACGATCAATTCACCACGCTTGGCCTACAACGTGTATGGTGTCTGGCAACCTGGGACGTCACCGAACTGCTATCTGGACGCATGGCTACTTAAGCTAGTCAGTCAGCGAGGCCAGTTGGGGCACGGCATCGCATTGGAAACAACGATGTCAATCCTTTTCTCCGTCGCTCAGGTGTTGCTTACAGCTGCATACGCAACAACGTCGCCCGGTCATCTTCACGGACACTTCATCGACTGCGATGGGCTTTGGATCGTCCCAGCGAGTGACTCGACAACTATCCCGGTGGCACCAACGATCAAGTCACCACGCTTGGCCTACAACGTGTATGGTGTCTGGCAACCTAGGACGTCACCGAACAGCTATCTGGACGCATGGCTACTTAAGCTAGTCAGTCAGCGAGGCCAGTTGGGGCACGGCATCGCATTGGAAACAACGATGTCAATCCTTTTCTCCGTCGCTCAGGTGTTGCTTACAGCTGCATACGCAACAACGTCGCCCGGTCATCTTCACGGACACTTCATCGACTGCGAGGGGCTTTGGATCGTCCCAGCGAGTGACTCGACCACTATCCCGGTGGTACCAACGATCAAGTCACCACGCTTGGCCTACAACGTGTATGGTGTCTGGCAGCCTGGGACGTCACCGAACAGCTATCTGGACGCATGGCTACTTAAGCTAGTCAGTCAGCGAGGCCAGTTGGGGCACGGCATCGCATTGGAAACAACGATGTCAATCCTTTTCTCCGTCGCTCAGGTGTTGCTTACAGCTGCATACGCAACAACGTCGCCCGGTCATCTTCACGAACACTTCATCGACTGCGATGGGATTTGAATCGTCCCAGCGAGTGACTCGACAACTATCCCGGTGGTACCAACGATCAAGTCACCACGCTTGGCCTACAACGTGTATGGTGTCTGGCAGCCTGGGACGTCACCGAACAGCTATCTGGACGCATGGCTACTTAAGCTAGTCAGTCAGCGAGGCCAGTTGGGGCACGGCATCGCATTGGAAACAACGATGTCAATCCTTTTCTCCGTCGCTCAGGTTGGTTACGTTCCCAATTCTCACTGCCACCGAAATAACGACCCCTGTTTGATTGCGTTGTCGTGCCCCTACCACGCCACGGACACTTCTTCGACTGCGACGGGCTTTGGATCGTCCCAGCAAGTGACTCGACAACTATCCCGGTGGCACCAACGATCAAGTCACCACGCTTGGCCTACAACGTGTATGGTGTCTGGCAGCCTGGGACGTCACCGAACAGCTATCTGGACGCATGACTACTTAAGCTAGTCAGTCAGCGAGGCCAGTTGGGGCACGGCATCGCATTGGAAACAACGATGTCAATCCTTTTCTCCGTCGCTCAGGTTGGTTACGTTCCTAATTCTCACTGCCACCGAAATAACGACCCTGTTTGATTGCGGTGTCGTGCCCCTACGACGTCACGGACACTTCTTTGACTGCGACGGGCTTTGGATCGTCCCAGCAAGTGACTCAACAACTATCCCGGTGGCACCAACGATCAAGTCACCACGCTTGGCCTACAACGTGTATGGTGTCTGGCAGCCTGGGACGTCACCGAACAGCTATCTGGACGCATGGCTACTTAAGCTAGTCAGTCAGCGAGGCCAGTTGGGGCACGGCATCGCATTGGAAACAACGATGTCTATCCTTTTCTCCGTCGCTCAGGTTGGTTACGTTCCCAATTCTCACTGCCACCGAAGTAACGACCGCTGTTTGATTGCGGTGTCGTGCCCCTACGACGTTTCTGAGTGTCGACGCCGACTGTTTATGCTCCTAGCGCAGAGTGCGCCTGCCGTTTACCTAGCATTACTAACCCTGCAATTGTCTGGAGATATCGAAACCGATCCCGGACCAGACAGTGTTGATTCCCAAGTGGCTAATATTTTTAGCATTGTAACTAGAATGGAGATTGGCCAAAGCCACATGCTTACCGAAATTAAGAAGCTCCAGGACGCCCAATCATCAACAGATGTGGCAATAAAGAACCTTAAAGAAAAGGTAGCGGCAATAGAGGCCGATCTAAGCTCTATGAGGACGGCTTCGGATGGGAGGGGAAGCAGTTCGGAATTTTCCAACAAAATTGCATTGGAGTTATCGGAAGTAAACGCAAGGTGCGAATGCCGAAAACAGGCTTCGGAGATCGAACTTATTGTTCTTTGGTATCTCTGACTTGCAAAATGAAACTTGGATTCAATCGGAGGCAACTATTTTGAGCTTCTGTGAGCAAAGGCTGGGAATTAAGCTTGACCCGAACGACCTTGAGCGGTCACATAGGCTTGAAAAGTTTTTACCTAACAAAAATCGGCCCATCATTGTCAAGTTCTTGCGTTACAAAGATAGACAGAACATTCTCTCTTCGGGCTTTAAACTAAAGGATTCTGAGTACGCCATTCGGGAACTTATCGGACGCTGTCCGCACCGCTCGTAACAAACTGTACTTGTTTGCTCGGTCTCAAAATGAAACATTCAAATTCCGCTATGATAAGCTGCATATGAATAATAAGTGCTATAAATATGACGTTACCTCCGACTATGTTATAGAAGTCTCTAGATAACTGAAGATTCCTAACGTCACACCCCTTCGACCAGCTGTGCACGCGAGGCAGTCAAAACGTTTGAACTACAGTGTTACATTTACTAATATACGCAGTGTTACGACTAAACGTGATGATCTGGGTGCATTCATTTGTGAAAATAACTCTAGCATTGTCATTCTAACGGAATCCTGGCTGAAACACGAAATAAATGAGAGCGGAAGTTTTCCTGATGAATTGCAGTTTGACGTTTATCAATGCGATAGGATTTCGAAACGAGGAGGGGGAGTGTTCATCGCGATAAAAAAAATGTGTCTCCTCATTCTGTGTTCGAGCCTGTCCTGACCTAGTGAGTGTGTTCGTCTGCATTACATCGGCATTTAGATAAACCATAATCGGCGCATGTTATTGGGCGCCAAGTCGGGATAGTGATTATTGTGACAATCTGCACTCTGTTTTGCTTAACATTCAGGGCCTTTACCCGAAAGCGCAATTCTTAATCTTTGGCGACTTCAACTTTCCAGACATTGACTGGGTTAGTTATACCACACGCGGGTCGAATGATGCTAAAAAATTTCTCGATAACTGCTTGAACTTCAACCTCATCCAAGTTGTTAATCAGCCCACTCGTGGTGATAGCATTCTTGATCTTGTCCTTAGTAGCTCTCCGCAACTTATAGAAAATGTTGACTCTGTTCCAGGTTTAAGTGACCACAATATCTTGCTCATTGAGTTATCGATTCCCGTCTTCACGAGGAACCCCCCAATCAAAACAATCCGCGACTTCAACAAAGCTGATTGCGTGGCAATCAATCAGCGCTTATCTTCCTTTTATCAAACATACGCAGAAAACTTTTTTTCAAGGTCGGTTAAAGAAAACTGGTTACTTTTTAAAAATAAAATATATAGTCTCACTGAGCAGTTCGTCCTTGTCATCGTCAATCGGGAAAAGAGAGAAACGACATCCATGAGAGGATCAAGAAAAGAATTGATATATTTACAAGAATGAAGATAGGAACGTGTGAGAAGCGATACAATAGGAAAAGAATTAGCAATAAGAAAAGCAAAACACTGAAGGGAGATAAAGTCACGTCAACACACTCATAGCCCGTTCCCGCTACAGTCCTTGCCTCAAGTTCAAGTCTTTCCCCTCGGTGCCTTGCGGAGCGTCGCCGCTTGATGTGATGATGCGGAAGCCGGTGTCTCGTACTCCCCCTGGAGTTGCTCGTAGCAGGCGTCGCCGTCCGTAGCGGCTGGTCCTCCCTCCGAGCTCTGGTCGTCGCCGTGCGTCGCGGCCCGACCCTGGCTTTCACCCCTGCCTCTCCTCTCGCGCCCGCCGTTCTCTTCTCGTGCTCGCCGTTCTCTGCTCGCGCTCGCCGTTCTCTGGAACGCGCTCGTTCCCTTCCGCTTCTTTTCTTCTTCCACCCGTAATAATCGTCACAGGCACGTGACACACCCCCCTCACTTCGAGAACTTCACAACATGAAGTTTCTTCACGAAGGCGACCTCCTCGATGGCTTGCTGTAGTGGCCGCGGCACATTCACAAATACCACCACACTTGGTCCTTAGCACTCACGCACGTATGCCGTTTCCACATCCCAAAAGTTAGTATCGCCCAATTCACAAAAACAAACCGTGGTTACACTCTCGCGTCCCTAATTGCTCGTACAAATCACTTGGGCAACACACTCTTGTCCATACCTAATTCAATAACAAAAACGAAAAAAAAAATCCTAATGGCCGGGTCTCATTAACCCTGTGTCCTGCCTTTACGAACAAATATCCCCTGACGGCTTAGCTCTCTAGACGACTTAAGAAGTCTCCTCCAACATTGTCTTTCCCCTTAATGTATTCGATGTGAAAGTCCTGTTCCTGCAATGATAAACTCCATCGCATTATGCGACTGTTGGAGTGCTTCGCTTTGTTCAAAAACTCCAAAGCTCGGTGATCCGTTTGTATGCGAAATTTTCTGCCATATAAGAACAACCTAAATCGCTCCACGGCCCAAACAATTGCCAGACACTCTTTCTCTACGGTGGCGTAATTCTTCTCCGATTTTCCCAGTGTTCTGCTTGCATATCCCACTGGATGCAGCAGTCCTTCACTTTCCTGGAGCAATACTGCGCCCAGGCATGCATCAGATGCATCCGTCCTCAAAACGAATTCTTTGTAGGGATCTGGCGCCAACAGGATAGGTGGTCTCGATAAGCAGTCCTTCAGTCTCTCGAACGACTCCTCCTGTGCTGACCCCCATTAAACTTGGTTTCGTTCTCCTTTCTTCGTGAGCTCCAGCAGTGGTGTAGCAAGATCCGCGTAGTTTGGGACGAAATCGCGGTAATAGCCGGTCAGCCCGAGAAACGACTTCACTTGACGTTTTGTCACCGGCCTTGGCGCGTCTTGTATCCTTCCAAGGATCTCCGCGTGGGGTGCGACTCGTCCTCCACCCAACTCATGACCGAGGAAGGTCGTCTTTGTAAATGCGATCTCGCATTTCTTCGGCCGAGCCGTGATGTTAGCTTCTTGCAACCGATCAAAAACTGTCTGCAAAGTTCTCATGTGTTGCGTCCACGTATCCGAGGCGATGAGAATGTCATCAATGTAATGATGGGCCTCCGGAATTCCATGAAGCAACTTTCTCATCAGTCTGGTGAAGGTAGCAGAGGCAGTCTTGAGCCCGAAAGGCATAAACCTAAACTGGTAAAGTCCGCTACTCGACGAGAATGCTGTCTTCTCCTTGGCCAAATCCTCCATCGGGATCTGCCAGTATCCCTTCGCTAGATCCAGCTTAGAAAAAAACTTCTTGCGGCCCACCTTGGCGAAGGTGACGTCCGCCCTTGGAATCGGCTCTGCGTCATCTTTAAGCACGTCGTTTAACTTCCTGTAATCAACGCAAAACCTGTTAGAACCGTCTTTCTTTCTAACAATTACAACCGGCGCATTATACGGTGACGTGCACCGTTCAATAACGCCCAGTCGGAGCATTTCCGAAATCTCCTTTTCGACTGTCTCTTGAACGGAAAATGGCAACGCATGTTGCCTTACCCGCACAGGCTCTTCGGTTGTCAATTTCAGGTCGCACGTGATCAAGTTAGTCTGACCTGGAAGATCTGAAAATATGCTCTTATACTGTTCGATCAACCTCCACACCTCATATTTCTCATCGTCATCCAGGTCATCGTTGACCGTGACCTCTTTCCAGTCATGTGCAATCACGATATCAGGCGTCGATGCTTTGTTGGCCTCTCCAGCAAGTGTAGCCTCGCCAAGTTCCTGCGTTGCCGCACTGCAGCTTGGCTGCCTCCGTTCGACCTCGACCCTCTCTTGGTATCTCTTGAGCATATTCACGTGGAACACCTTCTTGCGTCCTCCAACATCGAGCTCGTAGTCCACTTCGTTCTTTTTGCAGGATACTACAAATGGTCCTTTCCACTGCATTATTAACTTGTTGTGGTCGCTCGGTAGGAGAATGAGGGCCAAGTCCCCTTCTTTCAGTTGGCGGTTGACGCTCTTTTTGTCATAGTGCTCCTTGTACTTGATCTTGGCCTCTTCCAAGAAGCGGTGAGCCAACTCACATGTTCTTCGTAGTCTTTCTCTTAGCTCGAGTACGTGACCGTAGGACGTCCTCACGTCGTCTTCGAGCGTTTCGTTGGACCAGATCTCCTTAAGGATGGCTAAAGGTCCCCGAACTCTTCGGCCGTATAGTAGGTCAAATGGTGAAAACTTCAGGCTTGCCTGTGGCACTTCCCTGTAGGCGAACAGTAGTGCCGGTAGGTACCTGTCCCAGTCCTTGGGCCTTTCTTGACACATGCTTCTAATCATCTGTTTGATGGTTCCATTAAATCTTTCCACCAACCCGTTCCCCATCGGATGGTAGGCTGTAGTCATGAGATGCTTCATGGACAGCAGCCGGCTTACCTCTTTCATGAGGTCCGACGTGAAGCAGGAACCTCTATCGCTAAGAACCTCATTCGGGATTCCATACCTAGAGAACATTTCCACCAAGGCTTCTGCCACTTTCTCCGTGCCGATGCTTCTTAATGGAATAGCATCCGGGTACCTTGTGGCGACGTCCACCATGGTCAGAATATATCGGTTGCCCGAACTCGCCGTTGGGTTGATCGGCCCGATGATGTCGATCGACACCCTCTTGAATGGCGTCTCGATGGCAGGCATTGTCCCAAGAGCCGCCTTGCCTACTCTGCCTTTTGGCACCGTGCGCTGGCATACATCGCAGGAGCGCACGTACATCTTGATGTCACTCTGCATTCCCGGCCAAAAGAACTCTTCAGCCGTTAGCGCGAGCGTGTTCTTCATGCCTTGGTGGCCTGACATGATACCATCGTGTGCCATTGCCATGACAGTTGGTCGAAATCTTGCTGGAAGAGCCAGCTGCTCTATACTCCTCCCGGTGGAAAACATACAGCTCCGAAAAAGCAGGTTGTTCTTTATCACCATTTCATACTTCGTACGACACTTGTGTCTCTTTACCACCTTTCCGACCTTGTCGAAACATTTCCTTAAGGACGCATCGTTCCTCTGTTCTGTCGATAGCTCCTCGACTGTCGTTTCGAGAATCGGTACCTGTGGCACATTCAGTGGAGGTTCCGCTTTGTTCCCGCTCTTATTCTTCCTCGACTCTCCCACTCCCGCGGTACTTGAAAGCGGAGTTATCAGTCCCAAGTCCGTGTTTTCTGAGTCGTACGGAGAGGCCTCTTTGTGGTCCTTCCTCTCTGGCACCTCGGCTCTCTTGTCCAGCTGGTGGCCAACTCCCTGGACAGTAGGTGTCTTCATCTCCTCACTTCGTTGTTGATCGGAATCCCAATATGGGTTCGGATCGTTGGGATCTCTCACTTGTGGAACGTTGCCAAGCACTAAGTCGTATAGGGGATCGTCAATGCACTTCGCCACCACTTTTCCTGCCAGAAAGGGTGTGTTGATCACAATTTCCGCCTCAGGTAAGTATTTCACTGTTCGGTCCAGTAAATATACGGGACTACAGTTTCCAGTGTAGCACCCAACGGGCACTAAGTTCTTTCTTACGACTACTGTATTGCAGCCAGTGTCCCGAAGCACCGTAACTCTTCTCTCGCCAATGCGGCCTTCGACCACAGGCATATTCTCCACCAGAAACTTGGGTGGCCTCCCTACAGCTGCGTTAACAACTGGTATTTTGTCGCCGTTCTTTAACGTAAGGTAGGTCTCATCTGGTTCGCCTGCCATTTCGTCGGAGGCTGTCCACAGGCACGAAGCTTGTGGTGTATCGCCGGCCCTCATAGTGCATTTGTCGGCCTTGTGTCCCATCCGGCCGCAGTGCCAACATGTCGATTGTTTGTATTGTTGATTGCGACCCTTGCAATTCTCGGCTTTGTGTCCTACCTTATTGCATAAAAAGCATCGGAGGATCCTCCGTGTGTCCTCTCTGAAAGCTTTAGGGACTGTACCTGCACTGGTTTTCGGGTCTTGTCCCTCTACCTTCGCTTTTAAAGCGCTCGGCTGAGTCTGTGCTTCCAGAAAGACGTCGGCTTTTTCAGCCAAATCATCTAGGGTCAAGCAGTGTCTTTCTTCGACAAAGACCATCAACTTACTAGCGCAAGTCGTCATGAACTGCTCCATTAGCATTCTGTCCCGGAGCGCCTCGAAAGCCTTGTCGACACCTGCCACTTCGATCCACCTATCGAAATACCCCGTCAACCTGGCTGCAAACTGTTTTCTTGTTTCCCAATCTCCGGGCTTCGTCTCACGAAATCTTTCGCGATAACCTTCTTTTGTATACCGGAATCTTTGAAGCAGCGCCAGTTTCATCTTTGTATAATCCATCGCATCTGCAGGGGTCATGCGACCGACCACCGTCAGGGCTTCTCCTGTGAGACAAAGACTTCAAGTGGTTGCCCACTTGTCTTGTGGCCATCCGAGGCCTGTGGCCGTACGCTCAAACCTCTGCAAATACGCGTCAAGGTCGTCGCGCGTCTCATTATACTGCGGTATCAGTTTGTGTGGACTGGCGCTATGACTTGGTCCAGTCGAACCGCCTTCTCCTCCTTCGCCTCGCGCTTCACGATTTCCTCTTTCCTGGGCAGCAATTCTGAGTTGTAGAACTTCCCGCTCCTTATCCAGTCGGACACATTCCGCTTGACATGCGCGTTCTTGCGCCGCGTGCTCTTCTCTTGCCGCCTCCCGTGCCTGCAGCCTTTCCTCTCTTTGAATATTTTTCTCCCTCTCAACCCAGACCTTCAGCTCCTCTCCAGTGTATCCTAGTTCCCTCCCAACCGCCATCAATTTATCAATCTCTACAACCCCAGACCCAGTCATGGTCGCGAACTCTCTCCTCCGGACCAACGAGATCAGGTTAGTGGATTAATGGCATCCTGGCAGGCTCGCAAAATTGTCATCGTCAATCGGGAAAAGAGAGAAACGACATCCATGAGAGGATCAAGAAAAGAATTGATATATTGACAAGAATGAAGATAGGAACGTGTCAGAAGCGATACAATAGGAAAAGAATTAGCAATAAGAAAAGCAAAACACTGAAGGGAGATAAAGTCACGTCAACACACTCATAGCCCGTTCCCGCTACAGTCCTTGCCTCAAGTTCAAGTCTCTCCCCTCGGTGCCTTGCGGAGCGTCGCCGCTTGATGTGATGATGCGGAAGCCGGTGTCTCGTACTCCCCCTGGAGTTGCTCGTAGCAGGCGTCGCCGTCCGTAGCGGCTGGTCCTCCCTCCGAGCTCTGGTCGTCGCCAGGCGTCGCGGCCCGACCCTGGCTTCCACCCCTGCCTCTCCTCTCGCGCCCGCCGTTCTCTTCTCGTGCTCGCCGTTCTCTGCTCGCGCTCGCCGTTCTCTGGAACGCGCTCGTTCCCTTCCGCTTCTTTTCTTCTTCCATCCGTAATAATCGTCACAGGCACGTGACAGTCCTTACTGTCACTGTGCGGAGCGACAGGAATAACCCCTGGTATAACAAAACATTGCGTTCATTGAACAATAAAAAGAAACGTTTGTATAAAAGAGCGAAACGGCTGAACGTTAACTCTGTTTGGAATGAATACTTTGCGTGCCTCAAAACTTATACAAAAAGTATTAGATCGTCAAAACAGAAATTCTTCTCTTTAGATTTACCAAGAATTTTGCGCTCTAATCCCCAGAAGTTTTGGAAAATATTTTTGCCTAAAGGCACTCATTCGATTCATTTTCATGACGAAAATGGAGTCGCTGTATCTGAGCTTCCATTGCGCTACTGTATTAAATAATTATTTCTCTTATGTGTTCACCTGTAAAAATACCACTGATATTCCACGTTTGCCCTTGTCCGATTTTGTACCTATGGCTTCCATTGACATTTCAGCCGATGGAATACTTCACCTCATGGAAAGATTAAAACTAGCGTCATCTTGTGGTCCCGATAATATAAACCCGAAAATTCTTAGCAATACCAAAGTTACATCTGGTGAGTGTCTTAAATTGATCTTTTCTCAGTCACTGGAGCAAGGTTGCTTACCCTTGGACTGGAAGCTGGGCAAGGTCGTTGCAGTCTTTAAAAGCGGCGATCGTAAGCTGCCCACGAACTACCGTCCCATTTCATTAACCTGCATTGCGTCCAAACTTCTTGAGCATGTAATAATTTCTCACGTTATTTCCCACCTAGAAGAAAATTACTCTTTTTTTTACAATCGCCAGCATGGTTTTCGGAGGGGCTTCTCGTGCGAAACGCAACTTGTAGAGTTCACTCATGAACTTTTCACTAATACTGACTCACTAAGCCAAACAGATGCCTTGTTCCTTGATTTCTCGAAGGCATTCGACAGGGTTCCTCATCATCGCCTAATAGATAAACTTTCTTGCCTTGGCATTGACCCCCTTGTTGTCTCCTGGATACGTGACTTTCTTTTGTCTCGCACCCATTTCACTGTTGCTAACAACCATAAATCAAACTGCAGTCGCATCACTTCTAGGATTCCTCAGGGATCCGTGCTTGGAGCTTTACTGTTTCTAATATTTATTAACGATTTACCTAACTCAATCACGTATAGCATCCGTCTCTTCGCGGATGACTGTGTTCTGTATCGCAAAATTAATTCTCACAATAACCATCTTCAGCTTCAAAAGGATTTAAGTTCAGTTTATGCTTGGTGCTTCAAATGGCTTATGTCATGGAATATATCAAAATGCAAGCTGGTTTGCTTTACTCGAAAAAAAAAAAAAAAACAAGCAACTTTTCATATTTTATTGGCTCCGACCTAGCTAATTCTACGTATTATTACAAATACCGCGGTGTAACGCTGATAAGTGATCTAATCTGTAATAACCACATCGAAACTATTGTGGCAAAAGCTTCCCGGACTCTAGGGTACATCAACCGAAATTTGAAAGAAGCGCCCTCTTACTTACGAAAATTGGCCTACGAAACATATGTGCGACCGAAATTGAAATACGCTTCAGCCATTTGGAGCCCACACCAAGCCTGTCTCATCAGCCATCTTGAGTCCATCCAAAATCGTGCTGTTAGATTTATCCTAAACGACTATTTCCCAACGACTAGTGTTTCATCTCTCAAACACCAGATCGATATCCAAACTCTCAACGTACGACGTAAAATAACACGCTTAAGTTTGTTTCATAACGTTTACCATTTTCACCCAATACTACGTTCCTCACTGCTTCTTCCTCCTAGCAGATCATCATCACGGCTAAACCGCTCACGCCATGTGTCGCGGATCACTGGTCGCACTAATTATTTTAACCAGTCTTCCTTCCCATAGACCATCATAGACTGGAACCACCTGCCACCTGATATAGTGGCCATTGATGACCCCACCTTGTTTTGTAATGCTATAATTTCACGTTTTTACTAAGAATCAATCATTGTATTTTTTCACATCTTATGCAAGTTCAGCATTGTTAGCTGCAACACCCGGTGCTTTGTTTTTGTATTTTTTCATGTATGACCCCCCCTTATGTAATGCCCTTGAAAAACGGCCCCTAAAGGGGCCCTCCGGATCTTTCTGCGATCGTCTGTTTGTGTTGTTATATTACGTAGTAAGTGCAAGTTAGTATGTATACAAAGTTTGAGATTACAAAACCGTTTATTAAGCAGATGGCAGCAGAAATATATCGGGACTATTTTCTCTTGGAAGACAATCCCCCATTCCCTGCCCATCGCTAAAACCTGACCAATGGAAATGCTGCATCTCGCGGTGAATGCGAAGGTTATTATTGCAACACTTCTTAAGCTTGTTGTAAATTAGAGTTTGAGAAAAACGTAAACTGATTGTGGTGCGAGAAATATAGTCCGCAATTATCGCTCCAAAACCAGCGAACTATGTTTTCTCCCCGCAAGCTTGTTGCTAGGGGGTGATGCGTCGGCGCGTCGGCTCGTCTGCTTCCCGGGGCGTCTGCAGGCGTGCATTTGCGGGACACGTGTTCCTTCTTCCCGTGGATCCCGACTCCGAAGCCAGCTTTGCGATCCTTCCACGTCAGCGAGTCAAACTTTTCCTTGTCATCTGTGGAATGCGATCGCGTATTGCAGTAGCAGCGCGACGGTGTGGTGCGACGAACGGCGACTGCCGAGCACTAAGTCCGGAGAGATCCCTCCGCGGGACGGCGGTCGGCCGCGTTGGTGACGCGCAGTGACGCCGGAATCCTTCGCTTGCTATTGGCTGATGCGTAAAGAGATGCCCCTCCCGTTTTCCGGGGTCATCTCAGAAAGGGGGGCGTGCCGGGGACTTTGGTAGCAATTTTTATAGGCGAATCCCCCGCGCATGACGGTAATTTTATGATTTTTAGGATCCTTAGTGCCTGTAGATTGAGTTACCGCCATAAATAGACCATCGCAGAAAGCTCCGGAGGGCTCCTTTAAGAGTACAATAAATATATGAATGAATGAAAAACATAAAAAAAAAAAATTTGCTCTACCGGGATTCGAACCACCGACCACACGATCACCAGCATCGCGCGTTAACCAGCAAGAGAAAATCGCCAAATCGTAGACATGTTGTTTTCAGTAGCTTATATGTCTGCTGAGTTCGTTTGAATACATTGTACTGTTAGTTTCGTATGTAATCTTTTGCTACGTGTTCAGGACGTATTTACAATATGGTGGCAATGTTTACATGCTCAATGATTTATTAATACTGTGTGTTTTAATAGTTTTTTAATGCGCTTTGCTGATCGTTTTATTGCAAGCGTGTTGAAGATACGCGCACATAGCTTCCCTAAAGTCTTTAGACATCCATAATAGCCAAAGAACGGGGGGGGGGGGGGGGGGGACGGCGGCGGCCGGGCGGCCGGCGGGTGGAGGCGGAAAGGGAACGGGGGGGGGGAGTTTGATTGCCTTCCTCCACCGTATTGTTCACTGGTAAACTAGAATGTCTGGAAGAGCGCGGTGCCCCTCCATCGCCTAAGCTCTAGGGTAGACACTACGGGTGGTTGCGTTGCGTATTTGCGTCCGGAGAGCTGGGCCAGATAAAAGGCAGAGATTGATTGATCGAGCAAGTTCGTAGCTTCCACCGCGCAGTCGTCTGCAAACGACTTTATTTTCGTGATTCGTTATCAGAAAAGAATTGTCAGAAATTGGTGCCGCGATGAATTCATCCCATGGTGATTTGCATAGCATACCGCTCCTGATATCAAAAATTTGTGCCCACGAAAAACTTTTTGATGCCGCTTCTGGGCTTCTGGGGAAATTTACAAGCATGTCCTGAATTAAGGTAGTGTCTCGCCAGTTTATGAGAGGTATATTTAGTACAGTGTAAGTATATAGTGTTAGACATACCTCACCCAATCCCTGTATTTTGTCGTTTGGTACTGCCTT